TCAGGATTAGAGCGGGAACTACTCTAACGAGGTACTGGTGTAGCGATTGCCAAATCGTGATTACCAGGGTTAGTTGGCAAATGAGGGTCGATATTACGAGGATGGAAAGCCTCATCGAGTTCCATACGATCATATCCTCTGACAGGGTTAGGTTTGTCAAGAGGATGGTCAATGGTAGCATCAGAGCTATAGAGATTAAATGTTGAAATATTATCTCTCTCACCAGTGGTAACTGGCTTAATGGTAGACGTACTGGCTGGTAAACCAGTAAGTCTCGGGTTCGAAACTCGGCCCGGAATTTTCTTCTTCTTCGGTATAGGAAGAATATCAGCCACGTGGGACACGATAGAGGGGTCCACAACTGCTGCTGCCGCTAGCTCCTTCAATAGCGCTTCAGTGCGGTTCAATTTGCGTCGAGATTGAGAGGATCCAACCACTCGTTGTCGATTTATGGCGTCCTCAACTTCGGCCCCAAGATTTGAGCTGGATGGAATGGCTTCTCCATCGATGGCGAAACCGAAATTTTCGGACAGGTCCAATACTTCTTTTTCACTCCGGATTTGTGCTGGAGTGTCCTTTAGATGTTGAGTTTATAATGTCCCCGACATTCGTATCCACGAATTTTCCAGCCTTTCGACGTTTATCCCCAATATTTGACGGCACGTGGTCAGGGGGCAAGCTGGGGTCCTGAGCTTCACTCCCAGGTGATACACGGACGCTGGCGAGCCTTTCCGCGGCAGTAGATACCTCTTCTTCCAAGGCTTTAGGATCCAACGAGTCATCCTCAGAATTATCCTCTGTACCAACCTCAGAATTGGCTTCCCCAACAGTTTCCTCGGCAGGCTCAACTTCAGACAGGGTTTAGGGTTTTCATTATCCACTAACGTTTATTTGTAATGTTAGATCGGCTCAAAACACAATGCAACGGTGAACTTAGTTTTATTTCCTCGATTGTTGAATAAACGTCTACCTTAGCAGAATGAACTTCTTGAATGAACTAAACCACGTATTTATAGTATATCCGAAAGATTTCCTTGAGAATCTGGCCGCCAATCAAATCGTGCATTTTCTCAATTTCGAGCCTACTAGTCCATTCAACATATATCGTCATCTGCCAACCTCCAGCTCATATTACCTCGCACTTCGGTTCGCAAAGCACCAATCATACACCAACCTCCTCTTCTTTCGAGCCTGCGCGGCCGTTCGCCAAAAATTGGTACAATACAACTTAGAACTTTTCAAACTTATTAGTTTTCACACTTATAAGCTATCGCCCACACTTAGAAGTTCTCGCACTCTTATTAACGCCCAGGAACATTACCGAACAGTTCGGTACTTAAAACACCAACATTGTTTTAAATCGGAGGTAAACATGGTTGACATTACAAAAACATGTTTTCTTCCTTTCTTTTTAGTTCGTATTTATATATATAACTACAATAGGTAAACAAAAAAAACAATCAGAAGCTATGATTCAAAAAAAATTAGAACATAAAAAAAAATGAAGAGGGATAGTATGTAAATATTTATTCAGTTTTCCATCCGGGGGTCGTAGGATCAAGGCCTTTTGTTTAAAAATAAATACATACTTTGAGACCACTTTATAATCACCACACAAGAAGGGAAATGTCATATTCCGGTGTATGAAAATAACAGAGAACATGTATATACGCTTTTAATAGTAATAAAAAATAGTTCCATTTTTTAAACCACTTTGTTTATAATAAAAACAACTAAAATAAAAAAACTGCTTTCCCTTTTAAAAATTAGGCAAAATATTCAAAACTTGTGTGGCAACATTTTCTTTACTCATGGACGATTGGACGTTTTCATAAATTCAATTCTCAGTTTTCTTTACTCATGGACGATTGGACGTTTTCATAAATTCTATTCTCGGTTTGGTTGAAGACTTGGCTGAGTTGACTCTGGAATGGTTTGAAAATACGGTGTTCGACTGTCCGTCCGGCGTCCGGTTTTGAACGATTTTGAAAAAGTGCCTTTTCCATAAATAAATACACTACAATAGAGTAGTTAGTAAACCACGTAAAAAAAAACAACTAAATAAATGTGGAGTCTTTCCTGCTGAAATGAAGGGGGACTCGAAGGTGGTCTACAAATGGGTAAAATAGCGTCACGGACGTTTTTTGTCGACAGCAAAAAATCTCGACAGGGACTTAGAAAATCTTACGCTTTCAGTAATAAAAGTGCCTTTTACATAAAGTAGTTGGCGCTGAGGTGGGCATCATGCTGGCTGGTGAAGCCCTTGTGAAGTGGTGGGTGCATTTCGAGTTTTCCACCAGACATCAGCCAAGTCACACGGTTAGATGTCCAACCCTGGCCTGGAGCCTGGGATGTTGAATTTGTTTTATAAAAAACAACAAAAAATGAGACAAAATTGAAAATACGAAAAGTAGTTTTTGTTGTGAAAAAACCTTAAAATTTTAAGAATACAAAACAGAAAAACCCAAAAAATAAGTATAATATATTATATGAAAATATGCCTTCTTGTTCTTTTTCAGAGGTCTACCGTTAAAGTGAAAAAAATACAAATAAAAACACCTTTGTATAGGGGTGGACTACAAAAACAGTAGGTTTTTTGAAAAGGTTGACCCAGAGGTACTTTAATTATTGATGTTCATTGGTCATTAAATAGCTTAAAATGTTCGTCTTGACGAGTTAGCCACGTATTTTTAATCTCATCCCGATCGGCCTATTGGTTCGAAAGTTAGGGCTAATATTGGTTTGTACCAGAACTGGGTCAAACTAGCCATTCGTAGGTGCTGTGTAGGTCCGTGTACACCCATCCCATGCTCCTAGGATCAAAGTATGTTACGTTAATACTCTTTGGGAGGATATATGTCTCTCTCCCTTTCTACTCTCTACTCTCTATTCTCTCTCCCTAGAGTAAATAGTAGAGAATAGAATATGTATTTTGTAAAAGCAAAACAATTAAAAAAAGCATGCCTTCAAACTTCAAAGTCGAAAGTACAGAATGATGCATATTTATTTAAATTTTTTTTGTATGAGTAATATACTTTTTTTCACATACCACTGCTCTTTTGCAGAGAAAGAGACAAAAATAAAACCACCAGCTTTTTCAACAAGAATTACATACCAGACTCAATTCGTCAATAAAGTTTTTAAATTTTCCAGTTTAACTTTTTAATATTGTTTTTAAAAGTTAAAATAATGAACAAATAAGGATTTAGCATTTTTTAAGATACAAGACTACAGGAAGTACAAAAATAATCACAGAAGCACTTTGGAATTTATGCAATTTAAAAATGTAATCATATAGACCTATGAAAATGGAAAATATCGTGCTATTTTTATAAATAGAAGTATTTAGAACCTGATTCATCATTCAACTGAACATTTTGTTAAAAAAATAAACACCAAAAAAACCCCCCCAAAAAGCAGTTTTGTTTGTTTTTTAAATGTTTTTAACAAAATATAACACGGACAGTCTGGCTGATGACTGACTCATTGAAATATTTTATGGGATTTTGGGGGAGCAAAATATAATACGGAAAGTTCGTTTATAACAAACTTCAGTTGTGTGCTGTAGACGTGTCGTTGATACGTGCCACACAAGTTCATAAATACTCGTATATATATATATATATATATATAAATATATATAATATATAATATATAATATATATATATATATATATATATATATATATATATATATATATATATATATATATATATATATATACATCTATATATATATACATCTATACATCTATACATCTATACATCTATACATCTATACATCTATACATCTATACATCTATACATCTATACATCTATACATCTATACAGTTATACAGTTATACAGTTATACAGTTATACAGTTATACAGATATACAGATATATAGTTATATAGTTATATAGTTATATAGTTATATAGTTATATAGTTATATAGTTATATAGTTATATAGTTATATAGTTATATAGTTATATATATTTACATATACAACATTACAGCTACATATTATGCGATCATGTTTGACTTATTTAGGCCTAGTGGGCCTGGCTTTCGGTCCCGCTTCTGCATTAGATGTTACACCTGCGGATAGTTTAGTAGATGCTGTCAACGCTATGCAGCCTGGCGAAACGTTAAATTTAGCGCCTGGCGCGTATCCGGTGAACGAACCAATTATCGTCGACAAAGCTATCTTAGTGAATGGAACAGATGCGCAGATTTTTGTACCTGCTACAGATTCTATTGTGTTTGTTTTCGCTAACGCAGAAGGATACTCCTCTGTGCTCGATGGCCTAACCATTGTCACCGCCGGTGGTTCTTCATGCGCATTCGCCGAGCCGTATGCACTTCAGGCCAATTTTACAATAGATATTCTAAGCACTACAGTGTCGAACAACAAGGTGAATATTTTCACCGACGTCGGTATCTGGCACAATATGCGAAAGTTGGAGGACGTCATCTTCGCTGATTGCAGGTATTCAGAGGATCATCCTGAGAAGATGTCTGGAGTGGCGTACAAGCTAATAGGGAATTGTAGATCGCAAGTTGATTTCAGCGTAGCTTTTGACAAACTTGGAGGTGCGGCTGGGTGTGGAACAAATATTCAGGATTTCGCCACCTTCACATCGTATCGTGGGCAAGTGGAAGCCCAATGGCAGGAATACGTTACTAAGGTAGATGATGAGAAGAGTTTGCGCTTACCCGTTACTCGCGAGGGTAACGCCGTCACAAATCTGTTGATTCAGATTGACACTGTACGGAATGTCGCTGCAACAATTCAAGCTGCATATCCCTTGGCGGAGATTGAAGCTGCCATTAATCTGGTCGACGTTGGATATTGGGATGGTTGGAATCAAAGTTTGATTCGAATCGAGGTGCACTTGCCAGCACCGTACACCGTTAAGGGCAATCATGAAGGTGAAGTACAGTACGAGAACTTACTGGTTGGCAATATGTCACCGTATACGGTCAGTGATGCTTGCAATCTGCTCACAACGGGAGATGACTGTATTCAGCAGATTATTTTCACAGTAGAAGCTTGTGATTTGACTGGTGCGTACCAATTTTTGCAAGTTCCCATCGAGTGCGAGGCTGAGACATCTCCTGGAGTCCCGGCTGATTGCCCCATTGTGACCCCAGAGGACGGATTCGCGGATATTCTGTTTTTCATCGATACAAACAATTTCTGTGAGGTGGAAACTATCGAGCTAGACGCTCTCTTCCAATTGTTCATTCTAATTCACGCTGATGATACATATACCACCGAACATATCAATGGTGTGTTCAGTCTAGGTGAAATGACATACTGGAGTATCTTGGTCGATACACGAGCGAGTGGGGTGACGCTTTACAATGCGGAAGTGACGGAAGTCGTACGAACCACAGACGGCGATTGCTCTAGTTATCCTGATTATTTGGGTGTGGTGGCAGACCTCGAGCCAGGGGTGTTCACTCAAACCTACATGCCTGATTCGCAGGAAATCCGCATGCCCATCGTTGCGGACACCGTGTTCGCATGCGCTACATCCGATCGAAACGGTAACTCGATCACCATGAATTTCACCGTTCTTGTTGATTACGACGATGGTGGTGGCGCAAGACGTCGTCGTGGACTTGATATCTTCACCAGAGACGCCGGCGAGATGGCTGTCGAGGAGGAGGCTGGTGTGCAATATACCGAGGAAGATCTTAAGCAGGCTACTATCATAGGTGCTGGAACCGCTGCCGGAGCGGTTGCGGCAGACTATGAGGCTTCCAAGGCCACTCGCATGTTAGTATTAGGCGCCTCTGTTGCTTTGTTGTTGGCTATCTGTGTGTGCGGATGCTGTTGTGCATTAGGATTAGCGATGATCATCCGACAACGGGGTGACAAAAGTCTGGAGCGCGAAATGAAATTACAAGAGGACAGTTTCACGCTTGGTGCATCGGCTGTTTCCTCCACTCCCTCATCTGCTAACGATTCTACAATATCATTCTGCAACAGTAGTGCTGTATCAAACAAGGCGCCCCCACCGAGTTACAGTCAGCAGCTGCAAATGGGCTTATTGGGTCAGCCCCAGGTGATGGGTGTCAGTTTACCTGTAATTAGACAACCAAATATGCCTGTACTTGGGCAACCAATGATGCCTGTTCTTGGACAACCAGTCCTGTCGGATGTCAGCGCAGGGTCGCAAACAGGCTTTTCCAAGTCAGGTGTATAGGAGACAATCGGAAAATTTAGATGTATATATATATATATATATATATGTACACAGTCTTTTTTATTTGTTCTGCATTATTTTTATTCTGAAGCCGTTCCATTTCGCGACAACTGGTATATCTAGTGCTAACCGTTAAGTTCGAATCATTGGGAAGTACCGGACATTCACAGCACATTGATTACATGAGTAATGCAAGGACATATATATTGGTTCGTGGCCGAACAGCAGATTTACAATCACAAGCAAACAGCAGGCACGATATGCAAACACATTTTTTATAACTAAAGTGACGCTTTGATTAAGATATTCTCGATGTGAAAATTATGAGCCTTCAGTTCGGTTCATAAGCATACGAGATCAATCGATCAGATCATCATATTACGTCGACACCGGCATGGTATTACACTTAGCAGAATTTGATAGAAAATAGCTAAAACATAAGTGAAAAACTAATTCATAATAAAAGTAGTAAATGCTGTAAATATACCCTCGTGTGCCTCTACTACCACGAGGGTTCGCGATTTCTAAATAGGTTATCGTATACACCTAAGTACAAAAAAAAATGAAAAATAATATTGTAGTAAAAAAACAAACAAACACAGTATACAGATGAAGAAGGACTATGATCCATGAAATGCATTGAAAACGCTCAAGTACACACAATTGTTTTATAATGAAGCAACAGCCATTGCCAATGCTCCCTCGCGTGTCCTATTTCCACCAATGAATCCATTGGCGTGCGTGAAGATGCATCCTTCTATACCAGTAAGTTCGGAGAGGGCCTGATCCCGAACGCCTCTCCATGGTTCTGGCATAAATTTGCGGCACTGAAACGACGTGGGCTGTGTGGGTACAGCTTGTACGCGCCTGTTAGAAGTATGTACAGGACGATAATCAGAGCATGCATGATGCGATATTAAACCCATGCAACTGTGACAGTAAATTTCAACAATAACGGTTACACCAGAGTGGCGACAGAAGTGCGTATACTAGAAGATAACATCGTAGACTAACCTACGGAGAGCAAAGACTGGAAACCATTAACCATAATACATGTTACAGAGACATATATAGTATCAATTACATATCGACTCAAATATGAAGAATATGTGACCAAGATTTTGAAACCCTGTACTCAGCTAAACGGTGCCATAGTGTTGGAATTGACATATTGTACTCGCGATTAGGCAACAAAACCTACCAAGAACCAGCACTATCTGGGAAGATCACGTATAATATCCCAGAAGTATCGTCTCCTTCGTTATCTTTCTCCAGATCAAAGAAATGGTCCTTCCACGGACACGCTGTTTCTAGTTCCAGGATACTACCAGATGGATGTACTGACTTTCTATTTAAGATTGAATTGGCCACAATATCCCGGGCCGGCAACCATGACAACACTAAATTGTCCAGCTGAGATGATACCTCGTCACCGGTGATGCGCACTGCTTTCATAAATTGTATCTGTAGGTGTCGATTTATTGTATCGCAGTTCAGTTGCACGAATTAGATCTAGGTACGAGCGGCCCCATTCGAAGTGTGAGCGCATGCAGCTCCCAAAATGACCGTAGCAATGGTGAAATACTTTTCATCTCAGCAATTCCAAAATACGATTGATAAGAAACGTCAACCCTCCAAATTACAGAAAAAACCCACACACTAGCGTTTCACTTGATTGTGACCATGCGCAGCCAATACCTACAACGATGCAAGAAAATCAGTGCAGAGAAGCGAACAAGACGTAACAATTCACAAAACACGGCTTACTGGGACATCCGCGTCTTTGTCATTCCACGATGGATTCAGGCGCGAAACACGCCCTGCAATATGCGTCGAGTCTGCATACTTGGGCACAAGGTCTGCTGGATATCTAGATACGCCGTTATCCACACCGTCGAAACCCTCAATCACGCTATCGTAGATTCTTTGGTAAACCAGTTCCAACACATCTGCTGAAAGCTCACGCTTGCTCATTCGTCGAAGTGCCTCTCTCCCGAAATGCCTTCGGAAAAAATAAATATATATATATATATTTCTTAAGAATTTGTATGTTTCAAGTATTAGTATGTGGGTACGAATCTCATGACGTGGTGAGAGCCATGCCCACATCCGTATGCAAATGTAATATACAATTTATTTTCTGTTCTATACAGCAAGAAATCAAGCCGATACAAATTTTGCATTCACTAGATCGAGGAAACCATATCATAACATCCATCAATATACATACATATATATATACATCTATACAGAAACACACACTATATACACAGACACACACACATATATATACATATACCTATATTCTAAGGTACGAATATTACCTGTTAGTATAAGCGAATATTGATACATAAACATATATATTTCACAAAAACACACACACACAAACAATCACGTACACACACGCGCACACACACACATTATATTATATATATATATATATATCTATACACACACACACAATTATATACATATATATATATACAGGCATACAGACAGACAGACGGGCAGACAGACAGACAGACACACATATATATACATACACACACACTTACACACACACACACACACACATATATATATATGTATATACAATTTTACTTATATAAACACAGACCCACACACGTAGATATACACACATACAGCCACACAGTAAAACAGACATAAAAATAGAAATAGACACCTATAAACACAGACAGACAGACATACAATCACTCACACACACACACATACATATATATGTATATAGTATATATACATATTTAGATACATACATATAGATACATACATAGATACACACAGACACAGACACAGACATACAAAAGCACAGACACAGACACAGACTTACAAAGGCACAGACACAGACACAGACGTACAAAAGCACAGACACAGACGTACAAAAGCACAGACGCAGACGTACAAAAGCACAGACGCAGACGTACAAAAGCACAGACACAGACAGAGACACAGACTTACAAAGGCACAGACACACACACATATATATATATTTGTATATACATATATATATATAAGAAAGGTGAAATAAACATCCTCCTTAATATTAATTTTCAAGGATTATAGGTACCTTTATATATGCACGTGCTGTTAATTATTGGATCCTGCGTGCCCATACTATTCGATTCCTCGTGCTATCCCTGCTTAATTTAGAGCAGGTATCCATGCAGAAACTCATGTCACAACGCATATACGCAAACTAGTTTTAAAACGTTATGTGTATCTCAATACATCATAAATATAAAAATGCGAAGGTTATCGGTGGTTTATGCACACCAGACACATACTTGTAGACCAATCCAGCACTGGACAATTTTGTACTATGCTTGTCGTCGAATGTATCGTCGAATGTACGCTGATGGTGATCAAACTTATTGGTTTCGGGGTCGTATACGGCACCTACATCCACAACAATATCACACTCAGCTAATAATTCTGGCTTTCTTGTGCGTACAATGCTGGCTCCTTGATACTTCTCAGTATTATGCAGCAAAAAGCATGCTAGAGCTTCGTCAGCGTGGAAAGTACCATCGTGTGTTCCAATAGTTAGGCTCATCTTTTGCTTCTTTGTTGCACTCATAAGGGAAAGTGTAGTCAATCTACTAATCCTTGTGAACGCGGTGCGTACAGTGAACATAGTCTTCGTACTTGCGGCACCAACTATGGAAATGCGCAATTCTGAGAAAGACCCCATGCCGGTTTTCAATACACGTGCTAAAAATAGCTTTAAAAAAAAAAGGTGTATGATCAAGAGACCTAAGTCAATGTAAATAAATACATGCTAAAAAAGTCATCAAATACTGAAGTGAGGACAGTTCACTATATGCTGCAATGCCTTCACGCCCTTTGAATTGTCATGTAAATACATAGCTGGATTGCTCGTCGACTAGTATGCGATTTATATCACACTTAAGTATGTATCGTTACAACCGAAAAGATTTGCCAGAAGATTGTTGTATTTGGCAGTTCTGCCTCAGCCATCCCTGTAGGGCGCCGGGTTCATGTATTAAATCGTCGAGTACGAGGACATACATAAGTAGCGTTCATTAATTAGAGTTTATATGGTCGTACTGCTGTTGCAATTATGCCTTGGGGCTCTTAGTATGTGGATAATTCATGCAACACAGGCAGTTTACTCCAAAATACGGTGTTCATAGAGAAAGATTTGTATTGCTTGCGCTAATAAAACAGCCTATTGGATTGGGTAGCAATTTTAAAATAGAAGAGCTGACTGCAGCTATAATCTGATGACACGCATATAAAGCGTCGAGTAGCCACGGCATATAGTAGAGGCGTCAGTGTATCACTGGTTTTCTGACCGTAAGTTATTCTGCAGTTTCTCGGATCATGGTGGTCATTTCATACGTGTTCAAGGTTCATACGTGTTCAAGGCGTGGACTCCAATCTATTTCTTGCATTAGCTCTAAAATCGAGGATCACGCACTCTGAAAGCGTCGCCACCAATTGATTATCGGATCCGTATTGTATTAGTCACTTGTTGATCAATTGCATGCCGCATCAAGCCATATCGGCCACAATACAGCCTAGATTGGCTGTGAATAAGCTAGGAATAATCATATTCGGGACAGTTAGTATAACTGTAGATGACACCCCCTTGTGGTCAGGAGGCATAAATAAGATTATGTACACCACTGGCGATGTACTCTTATGGGGTGTCTCAGACATTCACAGCGGACTGGGTCTCAAACACCTTTCGTTGACTGTGAAACTGTTCCCTAAACTTGTTGGCCGTGCACAAATATATTCATGAGTAGATCAGACGCCACGGTAAGCTCTAGAATGGCCTATATCCAATCTGCAGTGTTGGTACACGCTGTACTGTACCAAATATATGATACAATATTCATCGTTCAGTAGTAGGCAAGTTACATACTCAAAGTTGACCGGAATGTAATTGTGAACTATTGAACAACTTCAGCCGTACCCACCATCATGTGCAGCGTGTCTTTCAGAAAACTTTCAGAAACTTTTTATTGCTATATTTCAAATACTCAATTCTTGGAAACTTTCCGACTATGTTGTGCACTTCGTACGGTCCAATTCCACCTTCCGCTGAGTGCTCCCACTCAAGGTCTGTGGGCAGAAGCTGACTGCCCTCCTCTCCGACAAGTTGTGCGTGTACTTACGAAGCTCACGCCTTGCTTACTCCCTTACTGTGCAGCTCACGAAGTGGTGCCTGTCGATAGAAAGAGCCGGCCACTAAACATATAATTAATCCGCACAGACTGATAGTGCTCGCGTGCTTATCCCAGATGATGATGTTCAACATCACCGTCAAGAATTTGTTGATGACACCGATGATTGTGAAGCTCGTAGCTGAAACCTTGTGTCTACAGTTCCAGCCCGAATACCCAATACCAGCCCCAACTACACCGGAGGCCACAAGTACCACCCAGCCTAGGAAAGGCCAGGACTCCACAGGCGCTTGAGTGGTAAGCACGGACAATTCACTGGTGGACAGGAACAAAAATAGGAATGGGAGGATCGCAAGCGTGTTGGTGTACAGCACCGACCCAGAAAGTGTCAAGTCCACGTCAGAAACCAGCTTTTTACCGTATGTCATCTCCGCACAGATGGCTAGGAAGTATATAATTACCCAAGTATACGCCGCAGTGCCTTCAACCGCAAATTCCATGTCATCAGATACATACACGGCAGCTCCAATAACTATACTTATCATAGAGATCATCGACCGCGCAGAAGGACTTTCTCTTCCCAAACATGCGAAATCTAAAAACGACACCGCCAGAGGGGTCAGGGCACGGAAAACGATAACGGTTTCCACGTTGCACGTCTGAAGCGCGCGCATATTAGCGTAGATGCCTGATACAAAGGCAATGGTGTAGTACGCGTACGGTACGAGCTTCTCCAGATCGAATTCATTGACCTCCGCCAGCTTGAGGGTTTTGATACCATATACAATGCATATGGCCATCACCAGTTGGCACAGGGTGATTAACGCGGGCAGAGGTATAAAGTGCAACACTACCTTGTTTAGAAGAAGCAGTGTTCCAGAACATAGTGAATAGGCTACAATAGCAAATACAATCTCGTTCTTAGTTGGCTCTGCCGCCATCTTCACTGATTGAGTGCGGGTCGGTATTTGATTTTAAGAAGTGTTTTATGCATTTATATATAAAATACAGGCACTTCCACAACGTTGACAACAAGATTCTGCGAGACTGCGACTGAACACAGGTCACAGATCTGTGGGTCACAGACGTGAGACGGAGAGCGTGTACAGCTGCAAAAAAATAAATAGCGCACATCGTTGCTAAGGGTCATTGAAAGTTTGTAGTAATAAACGACAATTCCGTAAATTACTTCTGAAACAATAATAATTGTGCTAAAACAAGAGACGTAATAGTATTAGGTCCGCTTGGTGCAAATAATATTTTAGTTTCAACCCTGTATGTGATATGTAGAAGCATGACCCTCTAGATTTGGGTCTCGAGCAGAAATCAGGTTTCTTCCGACAACATCGTAAATTAGCATTAGAAGGTGGAAAATAATAGAATTTACGACTCTTTAAATTTTTGGTCTCATATCGATACTGAAGAAATATGTATGCTATGTACTCTGAATTTCAACCAATGATAGTGATGATAAAAAATACGTCAGAATGTATTGACTATTGGGGAGATCCGTGGCATTTACCGCCAAAACAGAATAAAAATGACAATATGGGCCCGTGAGCGTACTTTAATATGATATCGAATTTATTTTGACAGAGTATTTGTTTTTTATTTAATTAAATATGTATTATAAAATAGGATGGTGCCTATAACACTTAAAAAACCCTTTAGAATACGAACACATCAAGTCTGGTGGTGCAACAACCAGTCTCATCCATTCGAAGTGTGCAACTGAACCGACAACTTCGATTCGTGTTTAGGAAAAGAACACGATGGCTGGTTCGGACTACTACGTCACCTTGGGCGTGGAATTTGGCGCGACAGAAAAGGAGATACAGAAAGCATACCGCAAAAAAGCTTTGAAATACCATCCGGATAAGAATAAAACCGATGCTGCAGGTAGGAACTGTAGAAAATGTCAAAATGGGTAGCAGTAACTATTTACACTTTTGACTTTAGACCAAATGTACACAGGGGCGGTTCACAATATATTATTAATATCCTTAGTTCCATATGGCATTCCCTTGAGTCCATTCCCTTGAGTGGATTAAATCTATATTATTCAATAATATTTAGCACACACACACACACACGCACACACACACAAACACACACACACACACACACAAAACACACACACACAGAGAGACACACACACAGAGACACACACACACACACATATATATATATATATGTTTATATATAAAAATTATATATAAATATTATAT